AGTTGCATAAGACTGCAGTGGGACAACATGAAGCTAGTTCTTTCATAATTATTTTTAAGGTTTCCAGTGTTTAACTCACACAGAAACAAAAGGTGACATCCATTCAACTCCAGGACACTGCCTTTAAATCAGCCTACTCAGCTGTGGCCTGTGCAGGCTGTCTTAATAGTAAATTCCTTAAGTCAGGCTATCCAAAATAGAATCATTGGGCCAGAGGAAACTGTTTTAGAGCTCTTGACACGCCTGGTCAAGCTACTTTGCAAAAAGTTCAGACAGCGCCGGGACCGGTTTGGCTCAATGGATAGAGCGTCGGCTTGGGGACTGAAGGGTCCTGGGTTCGATTCCGGTCAAGGGCATGTACCTTGGTTTCGGGCATATCCCCAGTAGGGGGTGTGCAAGAGGCAGCTGATCGATGACTCTCTCTCATCGATGTTTCTAACTCTATCTCTCTCCCTTCCTCTCTGTACAAAATCAATAAAAAAAAAGTTCACACAGCATTCTTAAAATCTAGTATACACAAAAAGCTTTGAGTCCTGTTGAAAACTGGTCATTTAAAAACTGAGCTCTGACAAGTGAGTGGTATATAGGGGGTTTGTTTATTAGACAAATAGGATTCTGCAGAAATGGAGTTAAATTGCAGGAGGTGGAGTTTTAATTATCCCTGAGGAAGACTTTCATATATAAAGTTTCGAGATCTAGAATGAGTTACTAAAAGAAGTGAGCTCTCTTTTTCTAGAGTTAGAAATACCTGTCTAGTAGTTTTGAGGCATTTATTCCTTTATTTGGCCAATATCTACTGAATGTTTACCCTGTGCTACTATGGCTTCAGACTAAATATGCTGACTGTAGAGAAAAATGACCTGGGGATTCTGTATCCAACATCTGTGCAAATTAGTAAAGAAAGGGATCACCTGATGGTAAATAAGGATCAATAAAAAGAAACAGATTTAAACAAATAATCAGAAACTTTCCCACCCCCACAGAGGAAATGTGTGCTTTGGTAATGAAAATTTTTTTTGTTGCAAGAACCTGTTTGGCATTGTCCAGCTGTTATCTGAGAAAAATGTGTCTTCTACTGTTGCTAGTGAGATTGAGGTATCGCTGGCATAGCGTTTCCTTTTTGCATATTGGAAAACAGTAGCTTGGAGAGGGATTTTTTCTTTCAAGGCAAGTGTTATAGGTTTGAGAGTTGTTGGAGACAGGCAGACCATTTAGTTTGGCTGTTGCAGTTGTTTGTAGAAGAAATCAAGGCTTTGGGCAACATTGGTGTCATTGCAGATGGGGAGCACAAGTATGTTTGGAATTAAAACCGTGTTAAATGTAGTATACATGAGAGGGAGGGATAAAGGTTGACCAATTCTGGGCTCTTCATTTATTTCTGTTTAGGCTATGTAACAGCTATCTATATATATAAAAGTCTAAGTGACCGTTATCATCAGAAAGACTATACAGCTCTGATGTGCACTGACAGCCTCGAATCTGGTTCATCCATACTCCGGACCCAGACAGGAGGGAGTAGGGAGCCCAATACCTATGGAATCAGCCGTTGCTTAGCGTGCTCTTGGGGCCCTGACAGCCCCACGTCTGGTTCACCTGCACCCAGATCCAGACAGGAGGGAGGAGGGAGCCCAATTTCTTGCAGAATTGGCCGTTAGTGCTGAAAGCGGTTTGGCTCAGTGGTAGAGCGTTGGTCTGTGGACTGAAAGGTCCCAGGTTCGATTCCGGTCAGGGGCATGTACATTGGTTGTGGGCACATCCCCGGTAGGGGGTGTGCAAGAGGCAGCTGGTCGATGTTTCTCTCTCATTGATGTTTCTAGCTCTCTATCTCTCTCCCTTCCTCTCTGTGAAAAATCAATAAAATATATTAAAAAAAAAAAAAGAAAAGAAAAGAATTGGCTGTTAGTTTGCTGCTGAGGTCAACCTCCCATAGTCCCTCTCCCCCACCAGTGCGCCCCCCTCCCCTCCCATCTGCCCTGATGTGGACGGGCTGGCTGGCCAACCTCCTGTGGTTCCTTCTGCCAGCTGGTCACCTTCACCCCCACCCCCATCCCCTGATTGGCCCCAATTTCCAGTCAGGCTGAGGGACCCCACTCATGCACTGGACCTCTAGTAAAAAAATATAAATACATAGGCCCTACATAGTTATATTGTTATATTCTAGGCAAACAGTGAACCATGTCTGCAGCTAGATTAGAATTAGAATTTGAATGGTGCGTTGCATTTCCTTTGGGGTGTTATGAACCATTGTATTTTACTTTAGAAATGAAGTTGATGTTACATATTTAAGATAGACCCAAACTGGCATAGAGGCCAAGAATGATTAATGTTGTTTATTCTTAATGCTCAAGCCTCTTTAATAATTGCCTTTGATCTCTTTCAATATAAACTTTGTGTGTAAAGTATTGAATCTGGAGTAGTTATACTCACATTTTATAATAGACAGTTTCTCTAGTGATGGGGCATGGATGATGTTCCATTGCCATTCTTTGAAGAGTACATTATATTCATTACATAATATAATGAAGTTTGTTGTTTGTATTCTCAACCACAAGAGGGTGTTTGTAGAGTTCTGAGCACAGTGGTCAGAGACCAATGTCATGGATTGGCTCCAATTTTGGGTTTATGTGGCCTTTGTGGTAAGCAAATAAGCTGAGTGATGTTTTGTGGTGACAGTGGCTTTCAAGAGTAAATACTGCCACCTTTCAATTCTTGCATCGTTAGTAGCGACTTACAGTAACTGCTCTGAAATTATTTCAGACATTTAAATGTGGTCAAGGTCAAGGTTGTTTCTTTTAGCTCCACCGCAAGTCTTTCTTTTTTAGCTCACTTTTTTGATTTTAGGTCTGAAATAGACTTATAAAAAAGCCAAAGGACTCTTTTTTAAAACATATACCTTAAAATAACTGGATCCTTTTAATTTATCAAACATGTGTCAGACTGATCTATATATATAAAAGCCAAGTGTCTGACCATTCGACTGCACTGGTGTGCACTGACCACCAGGGGGAAGACACTCCAACTGGTAGGTTAGCTTGCTGCTGGGGTTCCATGGATCCAGACTGGGCGACATTGACCAGACATGCCCTGGAGCTAATCTCTGGTGGTACCCCTCCACCCTGCCCACCTTTAAAAGATTTCTTCTAATTAATTTCCTTTCAATGTGCACAAATCTGTGCACTGGGCTTATCTTTATAATAGATAAGAACAGATAATGTTTGTTTATAAGTTCAGTTCCATCTGAAAATATGTAGTTGAGAACTCTACTAACAGAAGCAAATTTTCTCTTAACTTTGCATTTAGATTTGGAATGCTAACTTTTAGGACAGATAGAATTAATTGGGTTTGTTTCTCATTTGGTACACTTTATTCTAAAGCACTTTTCCACTGAATTCCTACTTCAGAGTAAGTCCCTGAGGTAACAGAGAAGGTAGAGATGTTAGCTCTGATTTTCATCTGTTTACCTTTCTCTATTAAAACAAATATTTAGTATGTTTTACATTTTATGTATAGAGAACATTGAACATTCACAAAAGTAGACAGAATGATAGACTGAATCCCTATCACCTGTTGCCCAGCTTCAACCATGGACTGTCCTCTCTTCTGTATTAGTTTGATTTAGATCTCAGACATCTTGTCATCTGTGAGTTGTTTTCATTTTCAGGTAGAAAGAGTATTACTGTGAGTTCTGCTCACTGATTCACTGGGGGCTGGACATTAGAAAAGGGCAGTCTAGGGTTTGGTGGTAGGGCTGCTGTCAAGAGGAATTATTTTGAATTTCTGCAGTTTTTATTAAAATCTGATGAGTGTTGCCTTTAAAGTATAGCACAGACTTTGTGTATTGTCTGAAAATATTAATTTGCTCTTCACCATCTTTCAAAAAGACATTGCTATAACTTATAAAAATATAAATGTACATATACTAAGATTTAAAAAGAGAGGAAAAGCCCATGAAAAAAAACTGAATGAGGGTCACTTTCAGAAACTACAAGACCTTATACAGTGGTCAGCAGTGTGCTGTGGAATTTTCTAGTGGTCAAAGTCAAAAGGAAACACAATCCATTTTATCCTTCAGATTTCTTCCTCTTAGTGAAGACAAATTTTTCTCATGGGATCTTGTAAAGCAGCGTTTGCCACCCTTTCGGATCTCACGGACCATCAGTGGTCTGCAGACCACCGGTTAGCGACTGCTGCTCTAAAGGAGCTACTGGGGCATCAGGTGGAGGTTGTGGAGTAACTTGGTCTCTGAGCAGATGGTTGTCTGGGAAGCCCAGAGTTCCTTTTTTTTTTTTTTTAAATAAATATATTTTATTGATTTTTCCCAGAGAGGAAGTGAGAGAGGGATAGAGAGTTAGAAACATTGATGAGAGAGAGACATCCATCAGTTGCCTCTTGCACACCCCCTACTGGGGATGTGCCCGCAACCAAGATACATGCCCTTGACTGGGATCGAACCTGGGACCTTTCAGTCCGCAGGCAGACACTCTATCCACTGAGTCAAACCGGTTTTGGCCCAGAGTTCTTTTTTGACTTGTATTTGGGGTTTGCAGATTCAGTAACTGCAGTAGCTATAATTTATTGAACTCTATTATGTGTCAGGCATTGTGCCAGGTGATTTTAGTTCAATTAATCTTCAATCCATTCCTGCTCCATAGATACTACTTTCCCCCTTTTTCAGGTGAGGAAATTGAACTTCAGAGAAATAACTTGCTGAAATTCTGTAGCGGTTTGTACTCAATGTGCTAAAATATTTGACATGTAGATACATGCTTATTGATTTATGTTTTGTGGGAGTATGTAGCTACTTAAAAAAAAAAAAAAGACTGGCTTGTCTTTAGATTATTGTCTGACTAAAAATGTGATCATTTTAGTGAGAACAGGGTTGTGGTGCCATGGTTCATGATGAATCTTTTTGTTCATGCTACCTGTTCTTGATTGCTGTGCTGTTATTTTCATTGTGCATTACCATTTCTGGCTTTCACTCTTTTTTTATTTTAATGCAGGAAGAGAAAACTGGTTTGTTCAGGAACACCATGAAGAGTGAAGACAGTGAAAGAAGAGATATGATTACTCCTGCTCTCCGAGAAGCCCTTACCAAGCAAGGTGCAAGCCCTTAAGAATTGTTGTTATAATACTATGTTTTAAGCATTTTAATTTAATACCTGAAAGCAGAGGCATAAAATTGGGATTGCCAGGGGGAAAGTAGGTGGTGAAGTCCTTCTCTAGCCCAGCGTCTGTGTTGCTGTGCCAGTTGTAGCTGTCTAGGGAGTCTTGTTTCTGTGGATCACTGTGTGCCACCATATTCCTCTTTGCGTGATTTATTGGGATGTTAGCAACTGTGTGGCTCAGGTATACAGAAAGAAAATGCCATTACTGACTTCTTTACAAATCATTGTTTATTCAGGGAAAAATTTTAAATACAGAAAAAAGAACATATTGATATTATGCTGGGTTAACTAGAAGTATATCTGGATTTTTATGGTTATATCTTATTAAAGAGGCTGTAGTCAAATGTACAAATAATATTGTTGAATTATATATTTTATGGAAGAAAGACAAGAATTGGGAGTCCATAGACTGACTTTCTCCCCTCTCTCCCTCTTTAGTGAGAACCTTTTATGTGATGGTTATGACGATGCAGAAGAACGTAATGCATTATCTCCCTCAAGGAGCTTTTAGTCTATTAGAGGAGACAGACAAGAATATACATATTTTATATATAAATCTGTTTGTATATATAAAAGTATTAAATGTACATAAATATTGTTATATATAAATACATATATTTGTCTTTTAATTAGGATATATGGACTATTTAAAGTGATTTTATGGTATGTTTAAATTTATCATGTTGCTGTCATTTTCTGCTTGTCTCCTGTTCTTTGATTCTCTTTTTCCTATTTTTCTGCTTTTTAGATCAATTTTTAATAGTTTTCTTTTGTTTTTGTTTTTAAATATATTTTTATTGATTTTAGAGAGGAAGGGAGAGAGAAAAATAGAAACATCAATGATGAGAGAGAATCATTAATCGGCTGCCTCCTGCACACTCCCACTGGGAATCAAGCCTGCAACACAAGCATGTGCCCTTGATGGGAATCAAACCTGGGACCCGTCTAGTCCATAGCCCAATGCCTTATCCACTGAGCCAAACCAGCTAGGGCAATAATTCTGTTTTATATCCTATGTTAGCTTATTAGTTATTGTACTCTTTGTTATTTAGTGGTTACTTGAGGTTTTATACTAGATCTCTTTATTGTATCATAGTATGTCTTTGTGTGGTGGTACACCACTTCATGCAGAGCAACCTTCAATGGTATATTTTCTCCTCAACCTCTATGCAGTTGTTATAATATGTTTTACTTTTTACATATTATAAACCCTATGCTAAAATTGTTATTATTTATTTTGGTTTAGTGAATATTTATTAAATATTTAAATAATTAGAAACAATTAATATGTTAACTTATGTAGTTACCACTTTTGTTGCTTTTCATGCCTTTGTGTAGATCTGAGTTCTCCCTGATAGCTTTTCCTTCTGCCTAAAGGTCTTATTTAAGCATTTCTTGTGGTATAGGTTTGTTGGTGAAGACATTTCAGCTTTTGTATATCTTAAAAAGACTTTATTTTGCTTTCATTTTTGAAGGATATTTCTGATGGATATAGAATTGTAGGTTGACAGCTTTTTTCCTGTCATGTAGTTCCACTGTTTGTTTACATTGCTTCTGATGAGGGCTCTGCAGTCATCTTCTATTTGAATCTCTGAATGTAATGTTTTTAACCCCTGGCTATTTGTAAGATTTCCTCTTAATTACTGATTTTGAGCAATTTCATTTTAGTGTATCTCAGTGTAGGTTTTGTTTGTTTGTTTGTTTGTTTTTTCTTCATGTTTCTTTTACTTGGGATTTGTTGAACCACTTGGTTCTGGATTTATAGTTTTAGTTAAATTTGGACAAATTTTGGTTGTTATTTCTTCAAATATTTTTTGGTCACTTCTCTCTTCTCTTCTTTGGGCATTCTAATTACATATATCATAGGCCACTTGAAATTGACCCACAGCTCACTGATATTATTTTCACATTAAAAAAAAAAGTTTTTATTGATTGTTAAAGAGAGAGAGAAAGGGAGAGGAAGAGAGAGATAGAAACATTGATGAGAGAGAAACATTAATCAGCTGCCTCCTGCATGCCCCCTACTAGGGATTGAGCCCCGAACCTGGGCATGTGCCCTGATTGGAAATTGAACCTGCAACTCTTTGGTGCACATGATGATTCCCCACCAACTCAGCCACACTGGCTGGGGCTGCTCTTTTCATTTTTTAAAATTATTTTTTTTTGTGTCTCATTTTACATTTTGGGTAGTTTCTAATGCTATGTCTCCAAATTTAATTTAGCAATCATTTCTTCCCTAATATCTAATCTTCCATTAATTCTATTCAATGTTTTTATTTATTTATTGCATAGATATTGTAATTTTCATCATTAGAAGTTCAGTTGCGTTTTTTTTTTTTATATCTTCCATGTCTCTGCTTACATTTTCAAGCCTAGGGAACATAGTTATAAGTGTTTTTAATGCCTTAATCTGCTAACATATATGCTATTTCTGGTTACTGGATAATTTTCCTCATTATTGGCCATGTTTTCCTATCTGTTTGCATGCTTGGTAGTCTTTTATTGGATGCTATATCTAATTTTACTTTATTGGGTTCTATATATTTTTGCATTTCTATAAAAATTCTTGAGCTTTGTTACGGGAGTAAAATAAATTACTTGGAAGCAGTTCTGTACTTTTTAATCTTTTATGGCTTGTTAGGTGAGACCAGACCCAGCTCTGTACAGCTAATTATTTCCCCATATTGAGGCAAAATACTTCTGTACACTCTGCCCAAAGCCTTGTGAATCTGGAAGTTTTTCTGTCTGGTTGGCACAGTTCCTACCTGGCTGTGAGCACCAGATACACCTCTAATGTACCTGTCAGATGGTTCTTTCCCATTCTTGGGTAGTTTTTCTTTCACATATGCACTAAGCAGGACTCATGCAAATACTTATAGGAATCCTCTGCAGACTCTTGAGATCAATCTCTGTGTAACTTTTGTCTCTCAGGTACACAGTCCTGCTAACTCTAGCCATATGGGCTCCTCATACTCTCACTTCCATGTCCTCAACTAAGGGAGAACACTGAGTTTTATGTGGTTTCCACCTTTCTACAGGGCCGTGACCCTTTTAAGACAGTAAGCGTGGGTAATGGTAGGGTTCACCTTGTTTGGTTTCCATCTCTGGGATTACCATTTTTTGTTGCCTGATGTTTCTTATCTTGAAAACTGTTGTTTTACATATTTTATTATCCATTTTTGGTATTTCAGGTGGGAGAGTAAACCATCTGTTACTCCATCTTGTTTAGAAGCAATTGCATGTTGGGTTGTCTTGGCATTGTGTTCAGTTACAAGTTTCTCATTTCTGTACTGTGTAATTTTTTTTTTTTTTTTTTTTTTTACCTAGCTAATGCAAAATTTTGTAGAGCCCTATATATCTTGGAAGAGATAATATAAAGAACTAATATAATATAGAGTGTAGTTTCTATAATAGTGATATGAACAACACATAATGTAGGAATCCAAAAGAACTAGAATTTTCTCTGGGAATCTTTGAAATGTTTATTTATTTTCTATCTGAGATTAGCTATTCAGTTAGACACGGCTTCATCTTCAGCTAGATAAGCACTGCTTTGTTTATTTTTTTATTCGGGATGTTTACATAAATGCGGATGAGGATAAAAGACAAATTCCTGTAATGTTGCCACTAGAGACTTGTAATCCAAATTGAGATTGTTCCGTTAATCATTACTGTGCATATGGATGTTTAACCAGCCACTGATCTACTTATGTCATCATCCAGACTGTATTTCTCCATTTACCTCATTTGTCTGGAAGAGTCTTTTTGTGCAAGAGACTTGTAATTATGGTTTATTACTTGAAGCCTCATGAGAAGCTTTATTAAATGTTTTTGGAAGTCAGAATGTTCTACTTGTTTTCTCTACTAGTTTGTTATAAAAGGAAATAATGCTTGTTTTGGCATGGCTTTTCCATGTTTTTCATGTCTTAAGTGCCTCAAAAATTTTAAACGTTAGGTTGTAGAGTGGTGCTGAGAATTCACGTTAGGTCCTCGAATTTGATTTTTCCACTTTTTTTTTTAAGCGATATTTCTTTATTTTAATCTGTTGTCCCTCTGATTCTTCTTTTTAAAAAAAATATTTTTATTGATTTTAGAGAGGAAGGGAGAGGGAAATAGAAACAGCAATGATGAGAGGGAATCATTGATCATCTACTTTCTGTATGCCCCCTACCAGGGATCGAGCCCACAACTTGGGCATGTGCCCTGACCAGAAATTGAACCATGATCTCCTGATTCTTAGGTTGGTACTCAAACACTGAGCCAAACCTGCCAGGCTGATTCTTCATTTCAAATATATTGTTACTTACTTTTACTTTATGGTACAGCCTGTAGTTCATTTTTATAGCTGTTCCTTGCGTCTTTGAAAAGCATTTCTGTAGTTGTTATTGCAGTGCTGTGAGTCCTTGATGAGGTTTGCTGTGTTGCTCAGATCTTAGAGCTCTACAGAGTTTCATCTGTGAGATCTGTGAGATACTGAGAGATATTAAAATCTCTCCCTATGATTTTGGGTTAGCCTATTGTTTCTTTATGTATTTTGAGAGTATGTTATTTGATGCATACACATTTTAAATTGTTTTATCATCTTGTTGAATTAAACTTTTAATGACTCCTGCCACTGGGTTGTTGTCTATCATTATTTAAGCAATGGAAAAAGATTTTGCTTCTTTTATAAGCACCTTCTGATATAAGGCTTTGAATCAATTCAATGTTGTGTTCACTTTTTCCATTTAGGTTATCAGCTGATTGGGAGCCATTCTGGGGTGAAGCTTTGCAGGTGGACAAAGGTATTTGTCTTTATGCACTTTTTGTATGGCTACTATATGCAGTTAATGAATTTTACCATTTTAAAGATACAGTTTACACTTAATAAAATGTAGTGATTTTGAATGAATTTGTTGAATGAGTTCAGCAAATTTCTAAAACTCGTATCCACCACTCCAAAATAGAAACAGAGGCATGGATACATGGAACTGACTGACAGCTAACTGTCAGAGGCGGGGGAAGGGGACTGGATGAAAGAAGATGAAGGGGTCAGCTAAAGAACATATATGTATAACCCATAGACACAGACATCAGTGTGGTGATGGCCAGAGGAAGGGGTCTGGGAGTTGGGTAGAGGTGGGCCAAGGGGAGGAAAATGGGGGTATTGGTAATAGTGTCATTAATAAACATAAAGATTAGAAGAAAAGATATAGACTATTTTTCTTATCCTGTAAGTTTACTTGTGCTTATTTCTAGTCAGTACCCCCTCTTCCACAGTCAGGAAACAGTTGTTCTAGCCGCTCACTATAGTTTAATTTTGCCTTTTCTAGAATTTCATATGAATGGAATTATATCACGTGTAGTTTTTATTTTTGCCACATAACTTTTTAAACTCAGCATACGTATCTTAGATTTGTTCATGTTGTAGTATGTATCAGCAGTTCGTGCCTTTTTATTGCTCAGTACTATTCAGTAATATGAACATATCAGTGTTTAATCTCTTGGTAGACATTTGGGTTGTTTTTCAGTTTTGGACTATTAATGAATAAAATTGCTATAAATATTTTTATACAGTGCTTTTTTTGTGAATGTACATTTTAATTTCCTTTGGTACATACTTAGGGGTGGAATTACTAGCTATATATTTAACTTTATAAGAAGCTCCCAATCTGTTCTCAGTGTGGTTGTACTATTTTATACTTGCATCAACAATGCATGAAAGTTCCACTTGCTACATATTCTCACCATCATGTGGTATTGCAGGTCTTTTTAATTTTAGCCATTCTAGTGAGTGTGAAGTGGTAACAATGTGGTTTTATTTTATTTTATTTTATTTTATTTTATTTTATTTTATTTTATTTATTTTCCTGGAATGCCTCTGCCCTCAATGCCATAATCCACAGCTGACCTTTGCTTAATACTTCAACTGCCTTGACGGTCTTCTCCAAGGGAACCTGCTTCTCCAGAGCCTGTTGTTTCAGAAGATTGTATATTCTCAGTGTTTCTCTGCTGTATCCTTCTAGTGCCATCTGCTCCCTAAGCCAGTTGCTATCATTTGTGGATATCTGAGAACCTTTTTACTCATCTTCTTTTTTATTACCCTCCCACATTTATTCCATGAGCAAATTTTTTCAAGACATATCCAGAATGCAACTTCTTTTTACCAATTATACTGCCATACCTTGGTCCAATTTACTGTAATATGCCCCTTTTTATTTCAGTGATTTCCTAACTGTTATTCCACTCTTGCCATCATCCACTGTCTGTTTTCTACACAGCAGCCAGATGTTTCAGGCCTTGCCACTGCTCTCAGAACCTCCAGGGGTTCCCATCTCACCCAGAACAAAAGCCCAAGTCCTCAAGGGCCTGTGTGATCTGCTCTTCCGGCTTCCTGACTATGTGGAGCCCAGAGTCCTCTGGCTTTCTGGCCTCTGTCTGCTCTCTTAGATCTCTGCTCAGAGCCTGTCAGAGAGGCTTTCCTGGGAAACAGCAACCTTCCCTCTTATTCTCTACGCTGCTTGGAATTCTTACATTATGCTTACTACAACTTAATAGACTATATCTGTGTATATTCTATCTCCAACCAGACCCTGCTTAGCTGGACAAGTTCTGACCCACGTGTTCATCTTTATTTTTCATTTTAACCTTCATACAATGTGTCTTGCTTCTCTTCCCTACTCTAATCTCCACCTGACCAAATCCTGCCCCTGTGTCAGTCAGGAAAACAGAAAACACCCGGGATATTTTAGCAAGAGATTTAATATGCTGACCAAGCCGTTTGGAAGACCTGGGGTAGTGAAGGTCAAAGAGAACTGCTTTGCTTTGAGAAAAATAAAAAAGTGTTAGACTCACAGGACACTGCTTCAAGTGACCCGAGCTGCTGGCAACATTAAAGCGAATGTCTCCCAGGAACTTCCTTGGAAGCTGCTGCAGACTGATGTTTGCTATATGCCCTTGTGTCTGCCAGCTGCTGCCAGAGATGAATAATAGTTTCTCCTTTTGCCTTCTTAATCCATTTGCTTCTCATTGGTGGAGTCTAAATCAGAATCTTTCAGACAGGGAATCAGAAATACTGTGTTAGGGTTACTAGTCGCTGCTTAGAAGGGCAGGCAGGGCTGAGTATTAACAGCACAGACTATCTCTTTGGATACCCAGCATCTAATCAAACCCTTCTACCTATAAAACATTTGCTTCTGCCTAACTTGTTGCAACTATTACACATACATGGGAAGATACATTCACTCTGCCTTTTAAAGGGAGAATACTCTTTTGAGATCCTATGCCTGAATGATGATATATGGATGACTACTGCTGACCCATCTATATATGTATATATAAAGAGGCAGGGCCATCACATCTGAAACAACTGAATGGATGACCGAACAGGCTGAGTGGGGCGACAAGGCTAGTAGGACAAACGACTGAACAGCAAGCTGCGTGGGGTGACCAGGCTGGCAAGGGGATTAGTGAGGGACAATCAAATGACTGAATAGCAGGCTGCCATACATAGTCATTACAATATTACTTACAGTACTCTCTATGCTGTACTTTACATCACCATGTCTGTTTTATAAATATCAATTTGTACTTCTTAATTCCTTTACCCTTTTTACCCAGCCCACCCAAACCCCTCCCATCTGGCAACTCTCAGTTTGTTCTTTGTATCTGTGAGTCTGAATCTGTTTTGTTTGTTCATTTTGTTCTTAGATTTCACAGATACTAGTAAGTGAAATAATACAGTATTTGTCTTTCTCTGTTTGACTTATTTAACTTAATATAATACCTTCTATTCATCCATATTGTTGAAAATGGTAAGATTTCTTTCTTTTTTATGATTGAGTAATATTCTCTTGTATGTATGTTCTTTATCTAATCATCTATTGATGAGTATTTGGGTTGCTTCCATATCTTGACTATTGTAAATAATGCTGCAGAGAACACAAGGGTGCATATATCCTTTTGAATTAAGGTCTTGAATTTCTTTGACTATATACCTAGAAATGGAATTGCTGGGTCATAAGGCAGTTCTATTTTTAATATTTTGAGGAACCTCCATATTGTTTTCTATAGTGGCTGCAGCAGTTTGCAATCCCACCAGCAGTGCATGAGGATTCCCTTTTCTCCACATTCTTACCAGCACTTGTTATTTGTTGATTTATTGATGATAGCCATTCTCAGAGATGTAAGGCGATATCTCATTGTGGTTTTAATTTGCAATTCTCTGATGATTAATGATGTTGAGCATCTTTTCATTTGGGAGACATTATCTTTACTTTGCTGGTCAAAAAGCAAACCGGCCTCTACACTGGATGGATATACCCTATTTTCCAAGGCTGTTTGCCTTATAGATTGTATGGAACTAAAGTTAAGAGGTGCAAAACCACCATAGAGACTTGTTCATTGATACAACTTCTCTGGAATATGGTGGAAGCATTCTTCCCTTGGGAACTTATGAACTAGAGTCAGCGTTCTGCAGGTGGAAGGCAGCAATGGAGTGAGTGGAATACTGGAGGTAATAGTGAGAGGAGCCACATGTACATCCACCTCTATAGCTCTGTCCAGTAGGACTTTCTGCAGTGGTGGGAATGTTCTATGTCTGCATTATACAGTACAGTTTACTAACTGTAAGTCTAACACCTTACCCAATACCTATTACTTGATACCTTGCCACATACCTGACTTACCTTGAAACTCATACAGCTACTAACCATGTAGCTATTTAACACTTGAAATGTGGTTGGTGTGACAAGGGAATTGAATTTTATTTTATTTTATTTTTTATTTTTTTTAAAAATATATTTTATTGATTTTGTACAGAGAGGAAGGGAGAGAGAGTCAGAAACATTGATGAGAGAGAGTCATCGATCAGCTGCCTCTTGCACACCCCCTACTGGGGATATGCCCGCAACCAAGGTACATGCCCTTGACCAGAATCGAACCTGGGACCTTTCAGTCCCCAAGCCGACGCTCTATCCATTGAGCCAAACCGGTCCCGGCGGGAATTGAATTTTAAATTTTATTTAATTTTAATTCATTTAAATAGCTACACCTGCCTAGTGGGTACCAAATGGGATGGTACCCACAATTGACCTTTTTACCATAATTCATTACTATCTAAAGCAGCTTTCCTTTTTTCCTATAACAGAAAGTAGTTTTTGACTGTTTTTTGATTCCAAAGCTCTTTTTCTGTATCTCTCAGAAAGCAGTTCCCAGTTTCTTCCTCATTATATAAATGTTATGTATGTGCCTTATTGCCCATTGGAATATATACATATATAAGTGTATATGTATATATGTATATATATATAGTAGTGAAACCATCACCAAAATCAAGAAAACAAATACCACCTCAAATGTCCTGTGTTTCTTTGTAAACCATCTTTCTCTTTGCTCCTGTCACCAGCCAACTGCTGACTTGCTTTCTGTCTCTATGTGTAAATTTATATTTTCTAGAATTTAATATATTAACGCATATTTTTTGATATGCCTGCCTTTATTTGGCATAATTATTTTGAGACTCATACATGTTTTATGTGCATCAATACTTCATTTCTTTCTAAATATATTCAATTGTGTGGATATGCCCATAATTTGTTTATTCATTTATTAATGGATATGTAAATTGTTTCTAGTTTTTTGATGTTTTATGTAAAGTCAGTTCTGTGAACGCTTACATACAAGTCTTTGGACATAACACTCATTTTTTTTTGGGTATACACCTTGGAATGGAATTGCTTAATCATATGTTTAGCTTTAGTAGGTATTATATGAACAGTTTTCCAAAGTTGTTGAACTCTTATTT